GGGGAGGGGTTCCTATTTCCGTGTTTTATCACAATGACGGCAACACGATACAGTGAAGGCAACACTTTACTAGATCGGTAATAACAGTTTTTGCCAGAACGTAAAGTTTTGCCTACCTTAGTCGTATAAGTTTTGCTTCAATCGACTGCGGATTAAGAAGCAAAGTTTTGTGACTGCGGTGTAAAGCTAAACCGACTGATCATGCAACAGCAAGGATTTTCGAGTGTATCATGGCATTGTCAGGATCATCCGGTGCTGGTTACTTTGGTGTTGTGTGATCTGTTTGTTCCACCGCCTCAAACGCTGTCCACTTTGTGATCGGAGATTCATTATGTTGGCTAACTGTTAATTTGGTCGACGTTAATTTTAAATTTTTATAATCTTTACTCAAAAGAAACTTTTAGATGAAGACGGTTTCCCATTGGCTAACCATCCTCCCGCGTAATCACTTGCATTGAACAACAAATTTTGCACTTTTCAGTAGTAATGACTTTCCACTCACGGTCACCGTATTTTGTGACATAGTAAAGCGAACATTTTCCTTAAACTTTTCTATCTGACCGCGTCTCCTATGTTTGAATTTACTTCTCCGAGTGCCCACATCCCAGGACTCACTTTGAATTCATTTCACATTCTGTTCAGTTTTGTTTGGATTCATTGGACTCTAACAAGTCTGTTGGCGGTTTATGCATATTGTGCTGTTATCCCGCTGCAGCTGATGACTTTCAGCACAAATAGTCGTACCAAATTTCACATTGAGCCTATGAGGTTTTATTCCAACGCACTTACCCCAAGTTAGCGATTAATTTCTGGAGATTGAATAATTGAAATTTCGTCTCAGTTTTCCTGGCTGGTTGTTTTTTAGGTTAATCTTTGGCGTAGAACTTTGACAGTTTGGCAGCGCGTTCTTATTCTCCCAAACTGCACAGTCCAGTAGTATAGTCCCTGTTTTGCAGAATGCCGTGTAATCACTGAAACACTTGATCAAGTGATGGATTCTCTGCACGTTCGAGAACTTCATCCGCATTCGCCTACGGTACAAACAGCTTCCGGTTATCACAGTTATGCCAGTTCGTCCGTCGTACGCGACGATGTTTACCATATGCTTCGAGGTGTGGCTGCAACACCGGTGACTCGCGCGTTAATTATGTTGTATTGGCAGCAGACTTACACAGCATCCTACGCACTCTCTTTTCCCCCATCTGTCTGAAGTCGGTGGCAAAACAGAGCTAGGACGACAGAATGCGGACTCGGCAAGATGAACAGTAACACACAACTTAGTCCCCACACAATGGACCAGGTTTTCACAAAAAGGGAGTGGCTCTAATCCCATTTGAGTGGGAGTGCCACGGATGTTATATTATGAAGTAGCCATTGGGTCGGATTTTTAGTTCTCGGGTCAGTCAGTCGTCCCACACACGCACTTTCACACACACACACACACGACAGTTTGACCGTCGTTTCCGACGATGTCCACCGTGTGTTCCACAAGAAGGTGCAACAGGTACAGTGACTTGTGCCTGAAATAGTTTATAGTGGTGGTAGACTTGCGCAGCGTCCACCGCACTCTTTCCTCCTCCCTACCTGGACCCCGTGTCCAGACAGAGTCAGGAAGACCGCAGACGAAGAAGGGCGCAGGTGGATGACACGGTCGAGTCCGCACCTTGGCGTTCCGCTCCACACCTCTGATATACACAGAAAATTACCAGGATCCTAACTAACAATAGCAGTGTGTGGACGGCAGGGTCGCCAGTGTGTGCGACGGCTGACGGCGACTGAGTTTGTCACCGCACCCCGAAATGTTGGCATTTGTTATGGTGCGCATTCCGATAACACCTGCCAGAATCCGATGTGGCCCCCGTGTTGGTCCGGCGCATTTACCACGTGGCCCTTTTGGGGGCACACACAGTACTGAGCAGGAGGATCGAGCTCGCCCGCTAGCTGACAAAATTTCAAGACGGGACTTTTAAAGCGCCATGATAGATACAAGCCCGTAGGATTTTTTATAGTGAGGAATACGCAGTGTCGATCCAACTCTCTCTTCCCCCTCCAGTAAACCAGTCGACTGATCGACCCTGCCACCCTACGTGTGCTAGGATTGGGCGCAATGACTGACAGGGCTACAGCAGCTCGTCAACGTATGCCACACACGGCCTTGTCATCATATCAGACATCAGCTTGCACCCAAGAACGTTCTTCCCACTTACGTGAGTGGTACATGGTTTGTACCTGTGGTTGATGATGTTGTGCCGGTGCGTATGTGGTCTAGGGGTATGTAGGCTGGTGGGACGAAGTGTAGTGGGGGAGCTTTGACTTCAGCGTGTTACAGCAGATTTTCCCAGATGTGTTTTCAGAGGTGTAAGACGAGTTTGCCGTGTTGTTGTCACATTGTTTTCTGAGATGCCTGACAAAGCGGGTCAACTCGCGGAAAACACGTTGCCAGCGTGAGCCGGATGGAATGGTCTTACTGTTGGAGTTGCTGGTCCGCGAGGCTCGAGACCTTCGAACCGCTCGTCTTGTCTTGGTCATGGCTGTCCGGTGGACTTCAAAGATGGCTGCCGCCGTCTTCTCGGCGGTTCTTCAGGTCCGTCGATCCTGAGCAATCTTATCACAAGTGGCTTAGTTCATTTGGGGGTACTCGAGGGGACACCCCAGGGTGCCCCGGTAAAGCCGCCTTTGTCCTTCTTGTCAAAGAGCACCAGTAGGGGTGCCAGTGTAGAAGCGTCGCTCGAATTGGTATTCTTCCGACAGTCCTATGACGTAGCCGCACAATTGAAATTATATTTCCCTCAGCACTGTGTGGATTTTGAAGACTCCGGTTCGCTCCAGGGGTTCCTTGTCTGGGATTCTGTCTTGCCGCCTTAGCTTCAGCATTCTCCAGGGTCAATTGAGATTGAAGTGGTTGAGTTGTTGGCGTGGATGACGTAGAATATTCAGGTCTCCACCCACAGGACTATCGTGGGATCTTGAGATCAAAATACAAGGTCTGTCAGCAGTCAGAAATTGGGAATTACCGCTAAAACTGCTTTCTTCGGTCCCTGATGATCAACGGCGAGCAATCGTGCCTGCCCTATGGCTTTCGAGCGTACGTCAAATTGTGCTTAAGACTCTTTGAAACATTTACTTTTACAGCTGTATGTCGATTATCACTGCAAAAAGAGGCGTTTAATTATTTTGCGAGGGTCTAATGTGTCATTTCTTTAGTTATCTTTGAAAGTAATTCCTGAATAAAATCCCTGCGAACAAGACCTGAAAATTTTTTAGGCTTATTCTTACGAATTTTACTCCGATCAGAATCAGCAGAATATCAGCGAACAGAATACTCTTTAGAAATTGCTTTCTTGAATGTCAAGTGATTGATTTTAGCGACCTGGGGCACATTTTATCGTAATTTGTCCGTGTTCACCTGTCAATACCAGTAAGACTGAGCAGGGGGGCGCTTATAGCTTCACAAGAGTTGACGGTAAGATGCGTTTTATCAGCCGCACCTAATGGACACAATACTGTTAGGGGTTAGGGTCAGGGTTAGGGATTAGGATTAGGGGTTAGGGTTAGGGGTTAGAGGTAGGGCTTATGCTTAGGGGTCCCGTATTACAGGCGGCTGGGTTTGTTTACTTCAGGTGCGGATGCATAACCACATCTGGCCGAGTTGACTGCCACGCAAGAACAGTTCGAAATCAGGGCTGAAAGACGAGTGAAGAACTCAGCATACTCATAAAGTCCCTGTACCGGAACAAGCAAATTGCAGCATGAAGTCTCATTTTAATCCCAATCAAACTTGACATTGATTGGAATTCTGTCTGTTCGTGTCGAAAAGTTTACTGTGCCGATTAGGATATCCATGACGGATGAAATTAGTTAGCCTGTTAGGAATGGCACTTTGAAGGGGAAGGAGAGAAGCATCAGCTGTGCTTTCAAAATCCGTTTTCCATCCTTGACTATTTCCCTGTAGACTATCCCTAGTCTAGAACAACTGCGTGATCGTCAATCTGAACTATTGAAGTAGTGAGAATGCTACAGTCTGTTGACTCGTGGCTCAGGGACTCGAGGAAAGCCGAACTCTATCTGATATAGTTGGTCTAAATTGGCTAATTTTAGCGATCCAGGATGATTATTTGAAAGAGGAGAAAGGGCTCACTGGAACAGATTTACTTAACTGTTGAGGCTTCGGAGAGCTCGGTCGGTGCACACGATCGAACAGAAGTGCAAATGGCATGTCGAGCAAGTCGGACTTGAACTGATAAATTTTTTATTTCACTGACCCATTAGGTCAGTCACGCTTCTGTTCGATTTTTCGCTCTTAACGATTTGACGATGGCGAACTAACCAAGCTCTCCCAAACATCAGTAGTTCAATAAATATGCTCTACTGAGTCCTTCCTCTCATTCTCAATAGTTGGTCTAGTTTGTGAGGTTTAATTCTGATCCACTTCGGTTCTCTTCTCCGACGGAGGAAGGTCAGAAAACCATCTTGATAACTGCTCCTTCTGTGCGGCTTCCAATTTGTTAGTCAGTACCTCCGAGTGACCTGCGAGGGAAGTTCCATAGGCGAAACGAAGTCCAAAGCCAAGGTCCGCTCATATCTGGCCAGCCACCCACTGAACACGTTAACGCCTCAGCGTAGACGCACCTGTGCATACATTCACGTACTCTTCGTCTACCACAATACCGAAAAAAGGACAAAATTCGCTTTCATATTAATAAACATCAGAACTTAGGCACAACCACAACAACCGGACGGATTTCACGTTTGCGTCTCGTGTGCGTACGGTGTGCCTACCTAATATTTACGCTGTACACCGACTTTCGGCGACACACGTTAATTGCGTGCCAACGCTGCCCTCTACGACACACCGGCACCCCCACCACCATAACGTACGCTGCAGCACCCTATAAGTAGACCATAGCGGACAGGGGGCGATTCTACGAGCATCAGTTCTCCACCGTTGTAGGTGAATAAATAAAACTTGGTCGTCAGTAAACCGCGGCGGTTGTGGCAGCATGGACGACACTCTCTCCGACTTTTTGTCTATCCCATCCAGCGGGATGAGCACCATTGATATGCGCAAGGCCAGTATCATCAGCACCGACAGTTACACTGACGAGAAGTTTGACCACGTTCCAACTGGCTTAAAGCAGAAGGAGGTGAGTCTCGGATTGATGGGCAGTGTTTTCTCTTCATTTCACTGTCTTCAATTGTGAAGTCTAGTCAGTTAGGCCAAGCTTTCCATAATGACGACTCTGGACTGATTGTGGTTCTTGGACACACCAGTACAAGTGGCGGAGAGGACAAAATCTAAACACTTTTAATTATTCGGAGTGCAGGATTGAGGTTAACTTTCGCTAGCTGACAATGAAAAAGAACTTGAATTATGGTAAGGCGGTCGAGGGGGGCATTTGCAGCGCATCCTACCCACCTACAAGGCCTTTTCTCATGGAATACAGATGGCAAAACAGGGGAACATGTCGTGCGTTCAGTGTAGCGTAGGCTATGCCGAAGAGTAATGTGGTTATGGCAATCATTACTAACGTAAAAACTTTAAGACATATTGCAGAGTTTTACTTTTACTAACACCTTTACTAGTGGACACAGAGACGTCTGGATAAAAATTAAGTTTTCTGGGCTGAAACAGACTGAAATTTAACACGAATTTCCATGCAGTTTATGGTACCTGCTCTCTAATCTAGCAATAAGTGTCGAATTACTTGTTAACACAAAATTTCCAACGATGAGTTTGCATTTTCGTTCTGTGGTACTAAAAACAGGCTATAAGTGAGTCGAAGAAGTGTGGTGTGTTTATTGTGCATCGCCTAAAAGTCCTACCGTAGTAGATTTACCTGGGGAGTGTTTCAGCGTTGAAGTTATCTCACCAAAAAGCCCTGATTTTGCAGTCATCACATAAAATTCAAGGTAGTGGATCCGACAGGCAGCAAAGTCGGACACTTGATTATTTAAGCAAATACGCTTTCGAAGCCGAAAAACGTTATAAGTGACAAAATTACTAGTGAAATAGGTTTTACGTTTTGAAACAAGGTCAAACAGGTAAGCTATCGGTATTGGCGTCATTTGATAGGGCAACGAAAGTATTCAGAGGCCTGTAATTGTAGCTACGAAAATTTCTTTAAATTAATGGTGAAGGCAATACCTGTTTTCCGTAAAGCCACGGGACTTACAAATGAGTACTTTGATATTTTCTCTCAGTTGGCGGTTAGGGAAGACGAGCATTTTGCATTACTGATAGACGTGTTATGCTGTCATTTTTGAAAATCCAGCTCGTCAGGCTCTTTTCTGCAATATTGTTGTTGAGGTTAGGGATGCCAATTCCTCAGTACCTATGTATTTTTTCCGTTGTAAGTACTTTAAAAGTTGTTAGTCCGAAAATTGCAGATTTATTTCATGTTTTTTCGTTTAACTATCAGATAGGCGTCTTTCAGTCCTAGTAAAGTATTTCCAAATGACCGAAACTACTAAGATTAAAAGCTATTATCTCTATGCGTGTCTGGCGCTTTGGTTTTTAAGAGATTAGACGGCAACACCAGATCTATCTGGGCTCCAGGCATAGCACAGGGCTCCCATCTTCTACCCTGTTAACGAACGATGTTGATGCACGCCAACTCCACAGGGTCTAGCAACTTTTCTGCATGTGACTTTGTATAAGAAGAACCTTTTCTTCCTATAATCAATACGAAGTCTCAGGAAGTCATTAAATACTGCATATTTCATTATCTTTGCCTTGCTCAAATGCAACTTATTAGACTGCTCTGTCCCATATTAACATGTTCCTAAGATATGTTAAAGGAAATGACGGAAACTATGCATCTGACATTACAGTAATTCGTTGTCGACCTGCCCATTCGTTTATATGGGCATCTTTGTATTCGTATATAACTCGTTTTACTAAGATTACAAGGCTTTTTATGGACCATTTGGTGGGACACGAGAATAGGAAGTCCCCCCCCCCCATAATAAAAGTGACCTTGTGCTAAATCCCAGGGTTGAGTCTGGGGTAATGGTTAAGCTTAGGGGCAAGTTTAGGGTTAGTGTTAGGGTTCGGAGGTTGGAATAGATACCCCCTGGGATATAGCGTAAGACAACTCGTGCTCTGGGGAGGGTGCCTGTTCTCGTGTCTTAGCAACAATTTTTTCCAAACCAAGGACTTCATATAAGCCGTCGCTGACCATGTATTTACAACTTTTGGGACAAACTTGTTTGTGCTGCCTTCTCCTGAGAAGGAAACAGCTTTACTATTGTAGGCTATGAGGTAGAAGTTTAAACACATGAATCGGCGACGCCTGTATACTTTACGCATAGTGACATTGTCTTATTTCTAGGCTTGGGAGCTCCCCTTCTTCAATTCGTCCTATTTTATGCTACGTATTCGCTACTATTTCGGCGAGAACATCATTCTGAGTTTCTTTTAAATTTGTTTCAGTTGAGCACAGGAATGTAATCCTTCATATTGCGGATTGCCTTGTCTAAATTTTGTCGGGGAGGTGGGGTTAAGGGTAGGGCCTCAGTTATCTCAAAACGAAGATTGGCATGTACGTCCTAGCTCCGCATCTTTCGAAAGTCAGCCTCCTGAGATAACTGAACTGTTATATAATTATACTGCAGGCTTATTAGTTCTACAACCCTACTTAATTAATCTTTTCGAAACGAAAACGCATTCCGGAATTTCGGTTGACATTTCATGAGTTAGTTCACCTACTATACGTGTTTTGATTGACTCTCCCTAGGGCGACCATTTAGATAAAATCCAGATAACTTGCAAATCTGTGGAAACAATCTTTTAAATCTGGTCGACCAAGCGAAAGCTTTTATTGAGCCAGTTTTCAGCTTGTGAAGAATATTCTTACTCTAGAGAAATGACGGCTTATTTTAAAACAGTTTCTATTAATCAGTGTCCACTTTATTAAGACGGACCGATCTGAAAATAGTCTCTTGGAAGTGCCATAGCATACTAATTTTTGAAAACGGAAGCGACGCGATAAAACAGAGTTCCACTTCAAATAGGTTCTAGGAGAGAGTCGTCGTCGGAAGCAGTCTGCGTTTGACTTACAAAATTTGATTTCGCAAGGAAATACGGACCACCGTATCGGAAATGCCCAGCTCCTTACTTTCACGGGGGGGGGGGGGATTAGGATTGAATGTGAGACATTGGAATAGGCATCCCCTGGAATTTCACGTGAGGTCGCCTGTAGTACGTGGTGTTCATATCTCTGTGTGTGGCCCTTGACCCTCCTTGGAAAATCGTCCAAGTCATCCTTTTTTCATTGTGTTTAGACTAAAATGTTTGTTTTACTTCACAGGCGACCAATAATTTGGAAAGCTACACTGGCCATAGGGCGTGCCAACTGTTGAATTTCGCAAAGAAGTCTGTTTGCTAAAGAATTCGCAATACCTGTACATTAATTGCGTGCGCGAGTGATAGCAGTGGGAGGCTCCAGCTGACTTTGCTTCAAAACAGGCCGATTTTTGGAAAGACCTTTCAAAATTTCCTTCTAGCTAGAAGTGCCGAAAAGATCAAGATCACGAAAAAACTGGCCGGACATAGAAACTTGTAAATAGCATAACTCCTAGCAGAAATATTTGGAACATACTTGGCAGTTAGATGACACATTTTGAAAACAATTGTACAATGATATGAAGGTTTCCAGTGGCTGTTGTTTGGCGGTAGATTATATCTGAAGACGTTGCCGAAGTTAATGATTGATTAGTCTGGGTTCGAACAAATGTTGCTACATTTAAAAGATACCTCGTCGTCTCTACTCTTTTTTGATCCACTTCGACCAATTTAATTATAAATATTTCCAAAAATACCTTGCTGAATGACCTGGAAACCTTCTGCCGGGTTCTAAAGAAGGCAGCCTAAATAAACCCTATTCGTGTATAAAGTTAATATAGTTTCTCCGAGTAGTTTGTCAATGGCTTTGTTCATTGCAAGAAAGCAACCGGGTATGACTTCTGTCTGAAAGTTTGGATTTTCGAAACCCGGCCATTTATTTGAAGAATAGCGCGAGCATGCGCAAATCTTCCCTTTGTGCCAGTTAACAAATGAAATGTTTATTTTGTTGACAAAATATCACTCACTTTGCCTACAGCCGAACTTTGGTCTACTCTTTGACATTGACGGTGTGTTGATGCGCGGTTCAACTCCGATTCCCGAAGCAAAGGTTGCAATGGACTTGCTCAAAGGCAAGGATGGAAAGTTACGCGTGCCGATTGCCTTTGTTACAAACTCCATGTCCCCACCGGAGGCAAAGACTAAACACCTGGAGACCAGCTTCAACATACAGGTAAGTTGGCCTGAGCTGTTGGAGTATCCCTGGTCAGAAATTATATAATTTCTGTGCAACCCAAGCAACGAAAGTGCCCTCAGGTACGTCAGCAAATGGGTTTAAGCCACCAGCAGGGCATACGTTTAGTCATTAGTTATGACTATTGTCCGCATTGCCTCACACATTCAGCCATCACATGGGCCTATTCGTTCGCGTGTGTGTATGTGTGTGTGCGTTTGGGAGGTCAGGTTGTGCATGTGCGCGCGCAGACGGGTTCTCTGGTTCTGTCAACTTCTGTGCCTACTCCCTCCATCAGACAACTGACCAGCACGGATAATTGACTGGTGCCTGGAGAGAGCGAGATTGACAAGCTCAGTGTAAACAATCTGACACGCTTCAGTCTATCGAAGTGCGCTAAAAGCCGTGACTTGGAAGGTTGCCAACTGGTGGGATAACTCGGAGGTCGCAGTCAGCCCACTGTGTGTATATCTGTGGAGTAGCGGACTCTTCGAGTGGAAGCTAGACTGCAATGACTCCTTCTTAATGTGACCTTTATGGCATTCCCACCTGATGGGATCGGAGCCGCCCATCCCGCCTATTTTGTATAAACTCCTGGTCAGTGTACGTTGTGGACCAGGGAGTGTGGTGGTACGCCCAGGTGCGAGTCCTCGCCGCCTTGGCCACCTGCACCCTCCCCAACCTCCGGTTTTCTTGGCACCGTGAGAGAGTGCAGCAGATGTGCGCAAGTCTACTATCACTTTAGACTAAATCACACGCAAGTCACCCTCCCTGCCTCCACCATGCCTTCGAACACACGGTGGACATCGTCCGTCACGACGGTCGAAATGCCAGTCAGGACAACTGGTTGACCCGTGTGACCGGGGTCACTTCAGCATTCCGCGTTACAGTCCACTCAATTCACGGACCATGCAGTGGCATAATCTTCAGGCGTGACTATGTGCTGATCTGACAGACCGATTACCAGTGAAAGGGTCATGAACCACAGCGTCTTTCGAAATGGCGAATGTTATCTGTCATCAGACAAATCTTCAACCGCCGACAGCTGCAATTCTGGCAAATTAAACTAGTGTGCTGGACAGGTGGACAGAGATTCCCAAGTTACAATACAGGAAATGTGAGCAAACGCGTCTCCACGAAACGCCTTTACGAAACCGTTGTTTGGATTTTTGATGACCAGAGAACCGTGGCCTGAAATCTGACTGGACAAGTGGCGCAAATTGGAAGAAATTGTCAGCAAATGACAATACTTTTGTGCGAAACCGTCCTCACGGTCCCCGAGGAGGTCTATGTGTCATATTCAGTCCAGGTTCTTTTCCGACACAATTCATTCTTCCGAGAAACCTTGTTTTCTCTAGTTCAAGGACATACTAAAGTGGTGGCTAGCCGTTTCATCAACTTTCTTGAACGCGCATATAGCACGAGGACCACGCTCCAGCCCACATATGTAGGCCTGGATTTGCTTATCTGACCCAATGATTGAAAATCAAGAAAAATGTTATTTACCGAGCCGTATGGGTTTTTAAAATCCGTCCAAGATTCCATCAGGGGAGGGGGCGGACCCAGGATCTTTGGTTGCTGGTTACAGCTTGCCCGCAGAAGTCACTTTTAAGAGCTCATTTGATTATCCTTCAGCAACTAAGTGGCATTTAGGTGTTCAAAACCAAAGAGACGTTGAACTGGAAGTGAACCTTTACGAGGAGTACCCATCAAGCACAAAATGCTGTAGACCACCCACTTGAACCCCGTATAGTCCAAGGGCTAGAGCGGAGCAAAGAAAAGTCAACTTGGATGGCAAAATGTTCTCAAACAGGCCCAAGAGTGCAGATCACAGGCAGTGTGGATAATACGAGTGGTCGTGTGCATTGGCGATTCAGGAAAACGTTTACGCATTTGTATATTTCCATCCACATGTGATTTATCACACTTTATATTCTGTATCTTCCCCCGACTTTTCCATCGTCAGCAATAGCTGCGTGGTAACCACGCAAAGTGCGCTATAGATATTTTTTCTTCAAGCCGTTTTTTGTAATCATTTGCGAGGCTGGCTACTCGCAAGATTAATCTTGTTACTATTAGAATGACTCCTTTCCAAGACGCACGTGGCGGCAATCAGAGTGATAAAGACTGGCCACGCGGTAGATGCGCTGGACCATCACGGGCAAGGGTATGCTATGTAACCTCCTGGGAACACCGTGATTGACTATGCTCCTAACACCAACCATGACCATGGCTGTACTGGGCAACCCTACCCCGTAACCAGTAAGCATTTAATGAGAACTCGAGCGTAACCGCAACCTTAACCCTAGCCCAGATACCTAACCCTAATTCTAAACTCCAACCCTAGCCTCAACCGCTAATGCGGACTATAACATAAGTCTGACAACTTTGGCCCTGGGAATGACCCAACTGCTAATATTAACCCTTACTCTAACCGTATCCCTAACCCCAACCTTAAGCCCAATCGGGGCAATTTCGACGTCTATAATGCTAGTGAAGATCAAAATCCCTGTACCACATGACCCCTTCGACGACCCATTGTCGGACAAACCGTTATGAACCATAGAATGGCATGACTGGCAAAGACGAAGGAGACTGAAGTGCAAATTTCTGGTTTATTAGGCGTCGTTATCCAACCATACTTAACCCCGAGGTGTGCAAACCCTGGGGCTTGATCTAGCGACGTGTTGTATCCAGCTGGTCAACGCTTGAACTTCTTCACGCCTCCTTCGCAAGTGCTCCCACATTTGGCCCCTGTTGACATTCTTCCTTCCTCCTTTTTGTAACCCTCTTTTTAGCGTGATCGGTGTTCTTTTAATTAACTGGTTTTTGTATTCTGACCTTGAGCTGGGAATTCGATTTGCTCGAACAGTATTAAAGGAATTCTTTTTCTTGGGTATCCATTGTTGAGGTTTGTCCGTTTTTTATTATTACCCTATTCTATCAATAATAACGGATAAACACGTAAATCTGTCTGGCTTATAAGCGTGACTCAATTTACCAAGAATTCTACACGACCTGTTGGTTAAAGGTCCAGTTTCCTGGTCACTGAGCCAGGGATCATTGTTTTATCGGTTACGATGGGGTATATTAAAATGATAGAGGGGCGCTCACCGATCGTGCTACAAAACTCACTCGCTCCGTTGTACCTTGGGAACACATCACACCTACCTAGATATGATAAGGTGCGTGACTGAAGAATCACCCAGGGGGAGGGTTACATACCCTATCCTTACCGCCTGGAAATACCATGCCATAATTCACGATGCAGCTAAACGATGTTTCTATTCCAGTCAAAGTCGCCAAGCAGGACTTTATGCCCCTATCAGAGCTCTAAGTTTTGTTTCAACCCGTCTTCCCTCCAATACTGAGAGCTGGAAATATTTGCATTTCAGTGGGTCGGTTTGTTTCACTTAGATTGCGATACGATGAGGAAACTAATATTTGGACTCAAAATTTGTTAGTGATTAGAAGGGTTAATCAGTGTTAAGGATATAAAAGAGTAAGCTGGAAGATAGGTTGTCATCTTACTACATTTGTTTGCATTGAACTTAATCGTCTTTCAGTGGTTTGAACGATTATGCTTTGACTTCTCAACATACAATTTTTTCCTGAGTCTTTTACTTTTCTCTTGTAACCACAGTTAGAACCGGAGCAAATCATATTCGCTCCCAGCCCCCTCAAATCGTTTGCTCAGTGGCACAACCACAAAGTCCTCGTCCTGGGTCAAGGTAATGTTACGGAATGGGCGAGGGATTTGGGTTTCACTGATGTCTACACAATGGACCAGGTGGCCAAGGCCTACCCGCTTCTTGACATGGTTGATCATGAAAACAGGAAGGCTGTTGTAAGCGGTCGACATTTAGCCATTAACTGTTTTCTCTTGACAACTTTATCGGTTGAAAAAGGCTGCTCTCATGTTGCATTCTTTTCACGGATTAACTTCAACATCGATCAAGCGTTCCCTTGGGGCAGTAGCTGATAGGATACATTCTAATTAGAATGCCTTAGTTTGGGAAAGTTGGAGCTCAAGTTCGGAAAATTTCAAAATTTTCTGAATTTCGGGCTGTGCATTCCTCAACTGGCATATGTTTTTAAAGAAAAGTCGGATGTACGCTTTTGGTAGAACGATATATTTTGGATAGCTTTCGCGTAATAGGTAATAGGTTCGACCCATCTTATATCACGTACCGTTGGACTTTTTAAATTGCTTAGGCGTCGGTTACAAGTTAAGCAGTCTACGCTCACACCAGCTCGTAGCTAAAGCGAGGGATTATTCAACTTAAAAGTGCATTATTACGAACTAACTCAAATTCGGTTCCATGGCATCCGACATGGGCTTCCCGTATCACTGGCTGATTACTCAGGATATCGCACAAATAAAAATTCTTGCGTCCAGCTTCTTTTTTGACGATACAGCGACCGTGAAGTTAATCAGGTGTAATATTAATTTGCGAGTCCATGGAAACTAAGGCCCATTGATTTCACTGAAATTCAGACCTAAGGTCGCCGCATTTCGGAACCACTAGGTGAATTTTATCTCAGGAAAAGAGCAGAAAGAATACATTCACAACTATTGCACCAATTATGTAGCTGGGAGGACACGAAAATGAATACTCCTCGTATTACAGGCGGCTTTGGGCCATATTCGAAGGGGTTCTGGTACTAGTGTTAGGCTGCGGATTAGGAGGGTTAGGACTAGTTGGGACATGGAAATATGTAGCCATGGAATTCATCACAAGGTCACCTGCAATAGGATGGTGTCTTATTCCAATGTCCAGATATGTATTCTTATTTCAGAGTGCATGCTTGTGTGAGCTCAGACTTGAGAGACGTCGTTTGTATTTTCTTGCGTAATCTGTTTAGAACAAAAACAATAACAGCCCAGTTACTTGCCTTCCTGTTGGTCCCGAGGAATAGGCACAATTATTACATACGATATGACAATCAGAATCTACTTGAAGTCTGGTTCAATGTTTCTGTCTCTGTCACCTACTGAAGATGTGCAGTGAGTGACCGATCTCATGAAATGTTGGCCGATATTCTGAAATGCGTTTTCGATTAGGAAGGATTACTTGGTCGCGTTTGTAATACTCCTTATCTTGTGGCATACTCATAACATTTCGGACTTGGCAGGATGTTGGCTTTTGAATACACTTCTTTTCAATCTCCTGTAGAAAGTGTGCTCGGTAAAAAATGACTACTTAAGTAGCATGCATTTTTCCCATCGATTTTCGATGGTCTTGCAAATTCAAATATATTTTATAGAAACCATAAACAAAATATGATCATAAGAGTATGCCGCAAGATAATCAGTATTACAACCGCAACCAAGTAATCCTTCCTAATCGAAAACACACTTCAGAAATTCAGCTAACATCTAATGAGATCAGTCACTCACTGTATGTTTGCCGTTATAGGGGTATGCAGCCCTCACCAGCACTCGATAAATTTTCCGGTCTTTTAAACTGTCTGCTCTTTTACTTCAAGTGGTTGTATTTTCAGGTTCAGCCTGTAGGAGCTACTCGCTTTTTCTGAAAATATTTAGATCCTGGGTACCTGATTTTCCATATAAGGCGCGGAAGTTGAGAGAAAGTACTACCTCAACATGCAACTTTCTAGAGTAAAAGACGAGTTTCGCTGTGTGTGATTGTAAATCTATTGAGCAAAGCACGTACCTAGCTTTGGATTAAATAACGTAAAACCGTGTTGCTTAACCACTTTTTGTCCGGACAAACTGACCATTTTTATAAGTGGGTGTAGTTACTAAAGATTAGAGGAGATATTTATTTTTTAACTCCGAAAACTCACGCCATAGACACTATTGCCGCTTCACATGCCACTGGTTAGCATCTGTGACCTGATTTGGCTAAAATTGAAAGCTGTCTAACCCAACTGTGTTGACTGTTAGCCAGAGCCGCAATAAAAAACAAAACGTCCACCCCCTTTATACAACCAGGATGGATTGGTGAACTACAATCCGACGTGACTGAATATTCCCGGTCTCAGCGGGCAGGAGTTGTTGCAATTACTACCATAGCGCAGCTGCAAACATGCCTAATCTCACGCATGCGTACTCGCAATATTTTTCGATGTCTTGCCTATTTTCGTAGTAGCTAGACACCGGCTCGTGAATACATGTAGCATGCAAGATCAAAAAATTACCTGTCTCTGGTCAGGATAGTACTATAGAGCCGAGAATGCAGCAAAAACAAAGCGGCGCTCTCGCTACGACTTCCTCATACAGACTCCTCGTTATGTGCGCAAGGTGAGATATCCCGGTAAGGTTTATTCACAAGGATTCTTTAAACATGTTAAGAATGTTGTCGTCATAGTAGTAATCGGTATTTCTTTAGCCACAGACTGTAGATGCTAGTGCTAGGCCCCATTAACCCAGAAAATAATGTTAAGCGTCTTGCCGACTCTCTCGTACTAATCAAATGAACATTTTAGGCAAAGGGCTACACGGAGGACAAGGACTTCCCGCGAATCGAAGGTGGGTCTTCCAGTCTTTCACACTTTTCCGATTTACGGCCCCTTCAACTTACTGCCCTCCACACTGAGTACGGAATAATCTATTGTTTGGTTAACTTACAGCAATCCTACTTCTGGGCGAGCCAACGCACTGGGAGATGCATCTTCAGCTGCTTATTGACCTTCTTGTCACCGACGGTAAGCCAGATCGGAAGCCGACGACGTACCCTGACAGTCATCTTCCCATAATTGCGTGTAACATGGATCTCCTCTTCATGGCTCAAGCCTCAATGCCCAGGCAAGTGACTTAGGCGATTTGATGCGAGTTACATTGCGTCTAGACTATACTCTGATCCGTACCTATCACCCTGCTGCAGTCGACTATTGACCGGCCATTTAAAAAATGCCATTGTGCTTAAATGCATGTGCCAGGTTATTCATCGTAAAGGCAGCTATTTCCTTCCTTATCGAGCGAATAATTGTCAGGGTTGGAGTCATAATGACTGCTTTTCTCAAGGAAAGACCACCGTTTGTGCATACCTTGAGGTCATCTGTGCGTAAGACGTTCTCTCTTTTCCTGCAAACTGTCCCGGGTTTTGTCACCAACGTCAAACGGAAACTCGAATTTTTAAAACACCCTTCAAAAATCCGGTAGTGAGGTCGGCGAAATATGGCCTCGTAGGAGATAAATAGGCGTAATTGCTCCCTACTAATTAACTTAGAAAAGTTCGCAGGTATAAGAGTTTGTGGCATCCAGAACAAATGAAAACTGAAAACGGGACTGTTGTTGTTGTCAGTATCATGACAATATTGCCTGGTTTCATTGAGTTGTAATAAGCATTTGATGATGAGAACAAAAGTTGGGCACAATTCTTAGAAATCTTATCAACGACACCTATATTCAGCAGAAGCCGCTGCGTTTGCGTAGAACATGGCCAGAGGCGTGGTCGTCTATATTCTTAAGGAAAGAAGATACTATAGACTCTTAGTTGTTACTTATAGGAGAAAATACCTGAAAAATTGCTGCCTTTATGGCCGTTTATATATGTAACGCACTTAACAGTTTGTTTGGCCCTTTTGATCCAACTGACGTTGTTGCCTAATCTGAAACCCGCCTGCATGGGAAGATGCCGTGCACTTCGTAAGTCGCAGAAGAACAAAATGGAGATGAAAATATGCATAAGTTTGTAACAATGTTCAGTTATGTTTGTGTCATCACTTCCAGTCAGCTTTCTGCGGAGACGTTATCAAATTCATCTAAGAAAATAGATAGTTAAGGCGGAAGGTAACTGCTCTTCGGACTTGATGACTTATCAACAGTAGGCTGTTAGAATACTCTTATAAAAAATGATAATTTCTAGTCCCTAGCAAACACTTCTTATCTAACAGACCCATTTCTTGCAGCAAGCAGCGTTTACTTATTCAGTCAAAAACGCATTCCATGTGCTTCTTACCAAAGCGGCTTCTTTTGACTTGTGTTGTTTCCGTTCCTCATGTAGGTGTCGTTTTTAATATCACTCCCACATTACGACACCAGGAGCTGGATGTTTTTGAGCTCATGAGTAAAGTGTTTGTCAAAATGCAATAGAAATTTCTCCCTCTCAGGTATTCTGCTAATAGCAGCCGAATCCGTCTTAAAGATGAACCTCAAACTTGATCCGCAAGAATAAATTAAATTAGACTTCGTCGTTGTCGTCTGTTTCCATGTTCGTTTAAAGAAACGAAAACTGAACATCAGGTATATCAGTTTTTCCGCTGTTAAAGCGAAATTCAGGTGGATTCACCAACTTTTAATTACGCAGGTCCCGTCGAAAAAACAACGATCCTGAAAATCCTCTCAAAAATTTGTGAGCCCAGAGAAATGAGATGATTTTCTTTTGGATATGCTAGTTTGTTTGGATCGTATCACATCAAACCGTACTTTCACAGTGTTTGCGCTATAAATAATGCATGCGCTACGGAATTTGAGACCCTGGAATCGTTTTTTCACTACTGTGCCTATGTGTGATCAGACTTTGGCAAAAATAAAAAGATTTTAAACAGAGGTTCCTAATGGCGTTAGAATTCTGACTAAAATTGAAGTAGCAAGTCAATTTCCATGAATTTGGAGTTTGATGCCCGGACGATTTATCTCGTAGTGATTGTTTTAGTTACACACATTTTCACGAATGTTGGTTCGTTCAAACATTTCCGATATTGTCGGTAGATGCCGAACTAGGCTGAAGTGTTTTCAGAAAAAAAGTTAACCCGTGCCTTGTGCCCTGACCAGTTTACGTTGAATGTGTCGGTCTTTTTTCTACATTTTTCGCCCGCGAGATCGAAGTATTTACTCTAGGACTTCGTCTCTCCGTAACAGCGGAGCCCACAGATTTTACTGAGCAGGCCCTTTTTCGACCATGCACGTGATTTAGTTAATTGCGATCGTCTCACTGTTTACTATATTCCACTTTTTTACAGATTCGGACACGGAGCATTTCTTGTCTGTCTGGAGTCGTTGTACGAGGTAATTCAAACCTGATGTCATCTCGCTTTGTGTGCCTTTTTGGATATTTCAAAAACTCTGCTCTTCGAGAGTTTCAGCATAGCAATATAACGAGAATGCAGATTTTATGTGTCGACTACCCTTATCTCATAGTCTCAAACTTTTGAGCTAAAGTGCAATGGCATTGTTGGATTTATTTGGGCAGGAATAAGCTGCGTTTTATTAGTAACCATAATGTTGGTCGAGTTGCGTTCTAAATCAAATTTCTCATCTACGGAGCAAAAACAGTCTCACGATTCCGTGGTTGCGGCATGGCGACAACGTTCAAATGCATTGAGGAAAATTTCCACAGGGATACCATTACAATAAATTCGGTTAAAATGTTTTCGAAACATAATCGGTTTCTACGGTAATCGTGCGCCTTGTCTTCTTATTTGACGCGTATTTCGAAAGAGCAAAGATAAAGCAGGCGGGAGAGAGTAAAATGTATCTTCGACTGTGCAAAACGGGGAAAAACCCGATACAGAGCCTTATATTACAGTCCTCTAACATTGAGCAGTTTTTCGAGGGAGCACTATAGGTCGATGGACGAGGTAATTCGAATAAAGATGATGAACTAGACGATCAGAATCCTGTGTTAGATTTCCAAAAATGGCGGTACTCAACTCGCTAGGGATTCTTTGGTTAAGCACAAGATATATCTACTTCCTTTGTGCGCGCACCCCATCCTCTCTAGGTAATCCCCCTTCCAGTAAGGTGAATACAGTTGACTAATATACCTACTGACACCTTTCTTGAGGGTATTTGAGAAAAATTTAGCGTACTACAGGAGTTCTGAGAGATCTTCAATATTACCTTTCAACTGCGATCACCCGGTTAATTTTTAGGTTTTCGTCATTTTATTGATATGTTTCGAGGTTGTGACCTCCATTTAAGCAGCTTTCCGCGTCTGTGGAATAGAAAAACTCAGTGACACTGACGTTTTAGGTTATTTCCGCGCTCCCAAGAGCACTGCCACCCAAAGCACGGTTTTCCCAAAGGTGTACATAATATCCCCGTGATCGTAATTAAATCAAACGCAGGCCGCAAAACTTTCAAAATAATATGGCACAATCAAGAAAGTAAGGAGTCTAATTTATAAGTAGTACTAATGAGGACCGAAGAAAATGAAGTGGTGATTTCTGGTTAGTGTGCCATTGTCAGTCAGTCATATTCCAGTCCCTGGTGACAAAGACCTGCAGCTTGAGGGAAGTCGTTGATTTTTCATTAGTGATCAACTGAGTTGGATGTTATGCTTCTGCTCTGAGAAATCGATAATTTTAGAGACACATAAAGGCAGGGTTCTGCGATCCGGCCTGATTTCAGGGATATTGCGAGCAGAAATGAGAGCCCTGGGTAGGTTCTCCAGGCCACTGCAGAAGGCTCCTATTCCCTTAGTAGGCAGGCCAGATCTGTGATCGCCGCGCTTCTGTGACTTGGAGTCCGAGGACATTTTTTTTCTCCTACCAGACGTAAATAAAGAAAATTAATTCATGGAATATGAAGTGTGTATATGGCAATATTAGTCGGCAAGAGTTTGCATACTACCGATATTCTCTTAATGAGCTTTTTTAAATCCGGTCGTGTATGTGCTTTTATCTGCCTCAAAAACCCGTTTTAACGCATATTATTTCATTTTAGCGAGTGACAGGACATCCCCTTCGATATACCGCATTGGTTGGGAAACCCAGCGAGATCACTTATCGTTTTTCGGAACACATTTTGAGCAAGACAGCCCTCCGCATGGGCTACACGCGCCCAATAAGGAAAATTTACTTTTTCGGGTAGGTCCATACCATAATGTAGCTAGTGCGCCCTCATATCTACTATAATATCTATTGTGTTCTGCGCACTTCACCTTTTGAAAGATCATTTATTCTAAATAACGTTTAGTTGTCAATCGTTATTCACTAATTGAACTTAAACAATTGGGGCGTCAGATGGTTGCTCATTTCGCTGTAAGAAATTAAAAACTCACCTCTCCACGCCTAGGGACAACCCCGAGGTGGACATATTGGGCGCCAATCTGTATAACATGTATCTTCGACGTTATCGTCGTTTATCTGGTGGCCGTGAGGTAGCTCCCCCTGAGCAAGGCAAGTTGGACAAAAAGGCAGCAGTTGCCTCGTCTAGGACGGTGCCAGCCGACGCAGCCTTTCTTCCTCAGACTGCCCGTGGTGTCGAATGTGAGTTGATTTGTCTAAAATGTCGCCTACCGCCCAGTGTACACTCTTCTTGTCTTATTCTCGCTCATCTGAGTCCGTTCTCCTCCCGCTCCTTCCAGAATTTCTTTTTTTCGAAGATTTTCGCCTTCGCTCCCATTGTCTAGTTCTGTTTCACTTTAATTTTATACTGCTCATTTCGGCATATTTCAATCTGTTGACGTGGAGAGCTTTATGGCATAATTTCAGCTGTTCTGGTGCACACTGGTGTCTACAAACCAGCTGACCGTGAAAAGCGTCAAAGAAATCAGCCGCAGAATTGTCATCGCGACTTCCTTGGCGCCACCGACCTGGTGCTGCCCAGTTTTGAAGTTGCTGATGTGCTGGAGGGTATGAAGCTCCTGCTGTTGGAAGAACACTTCAACCCAAAGCTGGCTTAATAGTGAATGGCTGACGAGAAATGTCTATCCCAGCGAAGAAGGTGGCTACTGATTCCTCTCGTTCATTTTTCACCCTGCACTCCCCGTCATTGAAACCCACAGGTATTTTCTTGCATTGATCTTCATGTCGACAGTTATCGCAATCTCCACTATCCAGCTCCGAGCTCCACTGTAATATCTACTCCACCTTTTCATCGATCTGTTTGCAGTTAAGTATGTGTGGTACATAAAAAACCTCAAACAAACCCTCTTTTTGCCTTGGGGATTCTAAAAGTTATCTTCCTGACCGTGAGTGGCCTTGGCGCGGAAGGTCGTATCGTGAGCAGTACGCGTAGGCGGCTGTTCGGCTATGTCAGCCACTGCGTCCGATCGCACTCCCGGTATTCTGGACTCTATATTGGCACCGAATTAAGGCGGGTGTGAGAGAAGAGAGTGTGGCAGACACAGCGCAGGTCCACCATCATTACAAACTAATTCGCGCTCGAGTCATCTTCCCTGCGCCCTACCACGATGGACATCGTCCTTCGCGACGACTGAACTGTCGTGTGTGTTGCTGGCAGTGGGCTATGAGGTTGCCTTCGCGTGCAAAGTCACGGCGGAGTTCAAGGTAAGATTCGTTTGCATATAACAGCCGTCACGAAAAACAGTGAGGATTGCGCAGTAAATGCTATTGGGACACAGTAGAATTCAATCGCCGTCCGACTTTTAGTGGCAAAGTCAAGAGTTATAAATATTGCAAATTACGCATTCTACTCACATCCTTCTGTTGCAAGTCTTGATAGCAAGACCGGCCTCACGTCTACCAATTTTAAAAACTGTATCAGTTTTATGGTGGGTAAACACTTGACAAGAAATCCTACGAAGGCTTTAAAATTAACGGCACAGCAGTTCTCTAGAAGATAAGAAGGCACTTCATGCAGAAAAAATTTGCACCGCCACGTCAGTTTCACGTGCCCGCTTTATTTGGGTTAACCTAATTTTCCTACGGACTTCTTGATTTCGCTAAATTCAGTAAGCACAGTGCCAGGTAAAAATCAGTCAAATGCTTGTTTGAATCGGGATTTTGCAAGATGAAGCATGTTGCAATACTCCGGTTCATGCTTTATCGGAAATGTTTGAGATAAACGTTGACCCCGAAAGCACATACGTAAGGACAGTGCTCCCAGAAATATGTTGCTGGAGGAGGCTTGAATAATGGACGCATAGCTCGCGAGACTAGATGATGTCATTAAATCTTTTAGACTTATTCGGGTAGAAAAAAATCGTCTTATACAAGCTGCATCACACACTTTGAATATTTCGTTATGCCAATCTTAACACTGAGAATAGGCTGAGTCGCCGAAACGTGGCATTTAGTTCTCAGAGGCTCTGGGTTATTACTCGAAATCACCATCGAAAACTGGAATGAAAGAAACAGGGCGTGCAATATCTATAAAATAGAGCCCTAAAGCAATCTCGTGTCTGTTGAGTGAAATCCACATTTTATGTACCGATCGCCCTGCTTTGATCGCTGATATTGATAGTTGGTATGACGATAGGTTGTCCATACGGCCTCTCAGTGCGGTCCCTGTAGTGGCGTTCATCCGCGCTAACCGTTTGATTATTTGCAGTAGGTGCCTAAATTTACGAAAGATCCCTTATCACTGGGAAACCGGCCCAGATATATTGACCAAAATTCCTAATTAATAATGAAGCACTTTAAATGAAAAAAAAACAGATGGAAAAAGTAATATTACATTACTTAGAAATAACGGCTTCTCAGAAAGACGGAAGTGCGAGTACACAAAAAACGTGTCAAATGCACAAACGTCAGGTTTATCCGTATAAATAAATGAGTAACTGAAACAGCACAAGACAATCAACCACTAAAAGCACTCCCTTAATGTATTTTGCACCTGAATATTCTCCAAGAATTAGTCCAATACCAACTATGACAACTAGGCGACAACCTAAAGCTTGAGTGTACATTCCAAAACGGTTTCAAGGAAAATGTGGATTTCGTCGAATTTCAGCGTTTTTGAATTCAGAAGATCAGTAGGCGAGCATACATTTGCTTTCAGTAAATTATCCTCAAGCCAGTGCATCCATACAGAAACGAGGTAGAAGCAAAACATTTCAGTGATAAAAGAAATCGATTAAAAAGCGTCTTAAACCACAGGCGAGGTGTGGGAATGTGCGGAGCCTGAATGTGGTTCTTCTGTGCGCATAAGCTTGGTTTTCCTAATCTGATGGCGGCAGCTTCTGCTGTTGCTAACAGGCTCTGGCCCAGTGACCCAAGGTAGCTCGATGGGACCTTATAAATCACACTAAAAACTTAACTAGGACCAACAGAATGTCCAGAATCATTGTCTTACCACTTTTTACAAACGTTTCGGTTACCGAGACAGTTGATTACATTTACGAATTCCTTCAAAACAATCAGCAGGAAATAGGAATTCTGACGAACACACTCAAGGAACTATTAATAAGGTGCGCATTAAATCGCAGTTCCTTTTTGACAACCAACTTTATAGACAAGTAGACTGTGTTGCTATAGGCTTGTTTCTTGGACTCATCTTTGCCGATGTCTCCATGGGTAAATTAGTGACATTTCAACTAAGCGATCAGATCAATAAGCCTAAACATTACGGTCGCTATGTAGATGCCATCTGTACGATCGCCACCACAGAAACCGACATGGCTGCTGTCTAAAACGTGGTAAATCAGGCACACCCGTCAATTTAACTCACGTTTGAGATGGAACCGACTGGTTCGCCCCCTCTCCTTGATGTCCTTCTAAGCAAGATACCTGAAGGTAGCGTTCGAAGGAGCGTCTATCAGAAGAAATCCTGGTCTGGAAAATACACGAACTTCGACAGTTTCGTGCTCTTCCAACAAAAGCGAAATCTAGTTCAGTGTTTGGCGCAAAGATCTAGAGAAATTTGTTCTGCTGATAGCATCGAGGAGGAGCTTAGAAAGATCCAGGACTTGTTTCGCAAGAACGAATACCTTGACAGGTCTATTGCAAAAAATATTGCTGAGCGGTCGGAAAACCCAACACACTGATTGCCGAAGAGATAAAAGTTGTTCCTCAAAGTCCCTTTTCGAGGGGACGCTGCGAGTTAACTCCTAAGAAGACGCCTTGGTCAAGCTGTCTCACGAACCCTCTCAGAAGCAAGGTTTCGAATACTATTCCCTACTAAGCCTATTTTACGGGAAGGCAAGGATAATTTGCTAACTCAGACCATATCAATGTGCATCTACTCCTGCACATGCTCTTGTGGAACAGGTCATATTCCTCGCACGAGTCAACGCCTATCCAAGAGAATACGAGAACACCTCCCAGCGTGGCTCGAAAAAGGCCAAACTAGGAGCATAAACAGCGCCGTTCTCCTGCGTGTTGGTGATTCCGGGCATCGTGTGGACTCCAGCGAGGCTTTTAGTGTGATTTATAGGGTCCCATTGAGCTACCTTAGGCCACTGGGCCAGAGCCTGTTAGCAACAGCAGAAGCGGTTGTCACTATGCTACGAAAACCAGTCTTGTGTGAACAGAAGAACCCAGTTCAGGTTCCGCACCTCCCTTGGTCGAAGGTCTACTAACGCTGCAACTCTCCACGCCCTTCCGCTCTCACCCCGCTTCTGGCATTGACTGCTATTACCCCCGCCCCTACTCCCCACATTCCCGCACCCCGCCTGCGTTTTAAGACGAATGTTAGTCGATTTCTCTTATCACTGACATGTTTTCGAATCGTCAGTGGATAATTTACGGTTTTCAGTGTTCACAGTTGACTGAGCATAATGACAAATTCTGTTCTGTGCGTTTGTCAATATTTTTAGAATAAGATATGCCAGGGAAGTATTTGGAATGTAGAGAGTTCTAGGTCATTTTAATGCAGATGGCCGTTAGGGCCATATTTGTAGTCTAGCATACAAGACAACATAGATTTCCAGGCAGTCTTGCAAACAGTTTGCATGATAAAATTACACAGATATAGAATATAGACAAAAATAACATTTTCCAGAATGGGTTAGGTTAATATGTAAAATGAAGTGTTTTAGGTGTCTCGAAATGATCACCTAAATTCTCGTCATCCCGTTTCATGAGTTGATTCATATATTGCGCTTTGTTCAGGCGAAAGGGCGAATAAGTTGTCTTTACTGGGCCTGAATTGGATTCTGCATCTAATCCCACCCCACCCGGGTTGTTGTAATTCTAACTAGCTCTCTTTAGGTTTTACTACATGCCGAGATCATATCTGTCTGTGCCCGTAACTACTGGTGCCAAGCTTCGGTCGGTTAACAATCCAAAGAGGATTTTAGATTGATTCCTACCAAGTATTTTTATAAGCCTCGACACTGCAATTTGTAATCTCCTGAAAAGTATCATCTGTGACCGGACATCCTCATACCTGATTAGACGAATTTGTTGCCGTTTAACGATCACGACAGCATCAGAAGTGGTGTATATTTCACAACTGTCTTTTGGAGAAACATCCTAAGGTCGCAGCCGTAGTTCTATCCGCACAGAGTCAGACCTTGATGTGTCTAGTTATCGACCCGTTATTCAGAAAATCGCACTCTCCTCAACTGGCTGACTTCTTCAGATAGATCAGAGTTTACCTCCCCCATAGCATGTTTCGGAAACTTAAGTGAGAAAAATAAACTTATTAAATGCTTGTTCAGAGTGATTTGTACTTCCGCCAATAATTGCCTTATCCTAATTTTAAAAATGTAAGTGCTTCATGGGCTGATCATAAAGACTAAGTCTAACACAGCTAGATGACCAAAGATTGCAGCTGTGCTGACGACATCAGTGCAGCAATTACAGACAGATATCAGGTTATCAAAGGAAAGCCTTCTTAGTCGGATTGCTGGGCAACGTAAGTTTACTTTTTTGACTTCATTCTTCAGCCTTGACTAGGTTGCTGATTTCTGAAGTTGAGCATGACAACAAACTAGGGTGGTCCTAGAAAAAGTAAAAAACTGATATTCTGCAATTGACAGTACTGAGTGGGCTCACA